GGTATATAGTTTAGCAGAATAAATGCCTGCCTTGCAAGTGCAACGCCCCATCTGATACTCGGTACAAAAAAAAAAAAAAAAAAAAAAAAAAAGAACGACACATTCAGGAATCAGAAACAAAACAAATTGGAATGTGGTCAGGACCTGGAGATCGGTGGATGAGGGAGATTGAGTCCACTAAATTGGGGACTTTGGAGCACTCGCCACCTCATCTATCTTCATCTGTGATCCCATTTTTTGCCTTCTGGAAGAACGCACCATAGCTAAGGTCAACCCCTAGTTGGTCCCTTCTGTTGTCTACCTAAGGCAGTATGTAGCTCTAGTACTGTTACGGGTCACTCAGAATAGGAACCGGATCAGCCAGGTTGGAATTTGGAAAGCCTTTTATTACTGAGCTCAGGGCACCCCCGAACCGAAAAGGCGCCAGCCCAGGAAGCAGGAAGGGGTTTTAAAACCTGGAACCACATTGAGTTTGATAAGCAAATTCATTTTCTGACACAAAATAATGCTTTCAGAGTGATGGGGACCACAACTCAAACTACATTTCCGGGGCTTTTGTTTCAGTTTCTGGTTAATTTTCACCTGAGTACCTGCAGGCAGCCTTGCATAGCCCGGAGGTTACAAGAAGATAAAGCCCATTTAGTTTCTTTTGTCATCTCTGTAAGCTAACTTTGCAGACAGGAATTGGCGAGGGTCACAGGAATTTTATCTAGCAAACAGCAAGAAACAGCCACTAGTTACTAAACAACTTAGAACAGTGGTAAGTATACATTTGTACACAACAGAAAACACAAGATTTACATTTATAGCCTAAAATGTGAGTTAAGCCATTACAGTACTTCTCCCACTGCCTCCCCCCGACCCTTTAGGGGATTACTCGTATCATCATACATGGTGTTACTTCGAACTTAAATGAAGACAAGCATTGTCCTTACTTTAACAGCAGAATTCCTCCTGAGTCGCCAAATTCCCTTTGTTGGACTCTGCAGTCGGGTTTTTACCTCTCCATTTTTGTGGGTTGCTCAGAATAGGAACTAGATCAGCCAGATTGGAATTTGGAAAGCCGTTTATTACGGGGCCTCCGGGTCAGCTCTCACGCAGAAGACTGAAAGGCAGCCAGCCCAGGAAGCAGGGAAGGGTTTTAAAATCTGGAACCACATTGAATTTGATAAACAAATTAATTGTCTGACCACATTCAGTTTGGTAAACAAATTCATTGTCTGACACAAAATAATGCTTTCAGAGTGATTGTGACCACTACTCAAACTACATTTCCTGGGACTTTTGTTTCAGTTAATTTGCACCTGAGTACCTACAGGCAGCCTAGCTTAGCCCGGTGGTTACAAGAAGTTAAAGCCCATTAATTTCCTTCTTTTTTTTGTGGAACCGGGGATTGAACTCAGATCCTTGTGCTTGCCAGCCGAACACTTATCCTACTGAGCCATC